CCTGACCACCCACGTACCCGGACATTCAAGTCCCTATCTCGCAGACATGTCCGTTAGATAGTGTGCCGCTCAGATGATTCAGCCGATGCAGATGATGCAAAGCAGAAACTCGCATTTCTTGCATCCCTAAAGCCTTCAAGATACCCAACATTAGCACGAAAGCACTTTAAGCCGATTCCAAAAACGTGAAAAAACACAGGATTCTAGAGCGAAAATTGCCCCCCCCCCCTAGCTAACGCTACAGTTAGTACTAACGGTACTACGGAATCATGCGTGCCCTATAACACGCCTCAGCACCTTCGGTGCGGGCGGATTTGGGGTCTAGCGGCTGTCTCCCCCAACACGTTGCGTATACCTCCATTCCCAAGGCTGTGTCCAGTCTGGTGGCTCCATCATGGCGGTGCGCAAACGGACAGGGGGTGGCCATAGGAGTAAAGCCAAGAGTTCAAACAGCCTGAACTCTTAGAGTCCTAGTGCCTAGACAAGTTCTGTCTTTTGTGCATGCTCGTCCTGCACACTGCTCGCAAGTATCTTTGGATTCAAGCCTTTTTGGGGGCTGCTGCTGAAGTCAGCACCTCAAGTGAACAGAGATGTCTTTGGGTTCAATACTTTGGCACTGTGGGATCAATTCGATCCAGAGTTGTCTTGCTTAAGACAAGACCACCAAATCAAGGGTTCCTGGATTCAAAATGCCTTACCCCACATGGTAAAGGGCTAACTCTTGATGCAATTCTCTCCAACTCTTGATGTCATTGCCTACCCTGCGGGAAGGGTGGGGAACTGGAAAGCTTGAATCGTGGGGATTGTGTTGGTGCACAGCTTTCATATTTTGGGAGACTTTCTTTAGGTTGCTCCACTTCGACTGGGCCGTCGAAGGGTCGGGGCTTTTTCTGCGGTGATCCCTGGAGGTGGCATCTGGCCTTGGAATGCAGCACTCGCCCAGGCGTGCCATCGCCGCAACGTCCAGATTTGGGGCATAAAGCCAATACGACCACCCTATCGCTGGCGTGACCCAAGGAGCTTTTGGGGTCCTTCAGGTCGTACGATTTTTGTTGAGATGGACAATGGCTATTGTTTTCTGGAACAAAGAGCAGATGTTTTGAAAAATTGAGTTCAGCCCAGAAAGGAGCAGGGGAGCAGGGGAGCACCTGAGAAGAGCTTCCCAAAAATTGGGCTTCATCATTCAGACCACCACAGACGTTCCAGAGTTTCATCCTGGCGAATCACGTTTTCGTTGCACCTGGTGAAGTCCTCATCCCAAACCGGACAGATGCACCAGCCTTTTGCTTCCAGGTCTCCGGCGGTGCGCACCGGCCTGGTTAAAGGGAGAACTCTTGCACTGGGGTGCGGCACAAAAGCAATGGAACCACCATCATAGAAGCAAAGGTTACCGGGGCACAGGAGGGTGAGGGGGTCTTGCATTACACAAATGCAGTTATAAATATATATATATATATGTGGACTAGAGACCTTGAGTTTTTATGAACATAGCTTGCGCAGTTCATTTATCCTTTTAGATCTTATGAGGATTTCAGTCAGCTTGCACAGGCCAGGGGCTTTCTTCAGCAACATTCCAAATCATTTTTCTTGTCAGCAAGGGATGAGGTGGTGCACAGGAAACTTCAGGTTTCCTACGTCAGTGATTTACCAGTATATTCTATTTGGGATCCTTACCTGATTGGAGGGGTGACCGCTCCAAACCCTAGGAAGACCTCTATCACAGGCTTGCTCAAGTCCCTGGCCAGGTCGCTCCTTCTGTGCAGGCGCAGCGTTGGTGATTGGGGTTCTTTTTTGTTGTAAGGGGCCATCAAGAGCTGCCATTGATTGGACTCACCTTCTCAGCTTCATCTCAATTTCTATTCATCGGAAGATTTCGGCCACCAATGCGTTGGGCGCCAGCGATTGCTGCATCGCCGGTCTTTTCTGCATTCCAGGGAGGATCTCGCTCAACCACACCCACCATGGCTTGCCAGGCTGGAAAGGGGGGACGTGGGGGCGAGATTGAAAAAGTAGGACATCAGGAAACTCAGTTGTTTGAGGGACAGAAAAGAGTGCAGTTTGGAGGAACTTGGTGAATTCCAGCTGGTTGGCGGTTTTGCACTAAATTATGAAGCGAGTGAGATGTGTTCTGGGCTGCATTCTTCCTCCGTGTTTTTCTGCCACTAGTTCTTTTTGCTGGACAGACTCGCCGACTGTAGCAATCCAACCCTTGTTCCGGCCTATTGGATTGCCGTGTTTGTTATGGGTATCCATCCATTCTAAGGGAGGGAGGAACATGCTTGTCTACTACTCTGTGCAGAAAAAGGTGGTTGTGGGACAGAGACACCACCAACATCAGGCTATGGCCGCGCGGGCAGCTGGCACGGCAGCACCAGGCGTGCTTGGCTCATGGGAAGATTTCCACAGTGTCCGAGGTCACCATTCAACTGGTCCATTGAATGATCCTGTCTTCGTTCTTCCAGCAGCAGAATTGATGAATCAAACCTGGGACCACCTGAGCAGCACCCACAATGTCATCTCAGCACCACTCAGTACTCTTGTGGATCAGTGCCCAACCATGTGATCTGACACACGCAGGAAAGAGGGTACGGTACAGGGTTTCACTGACGGTGCTTTGGGAAGGTTTCCATGAGACGAGGTTGAGTATTGATAGATTTAGGTCTTACCTACCATACTATAATCCAGTATTTGTACTGTCTTATATCTTGCTGGAAAGATACTGATCAACTTGCCAACAATATATATGTCCATGAACCCCCATCCGGATTCCTGTATATTGAGTAATTCTCGAGCAGATTGGCACCTGTCCACTGTTTTTCTTTTCATGAATGACTCTACAATCTGCTCGATGAAATTTGCCCGCCTCACCATCGGTATGGATTCCCAGCCGTGGGTCCAGCAGTATCTTGCGCAACCAAACAGCTCGCACTCTCCGAGAGCGAGAGCATCCTCCGATCGAGTGGTTCGTTTCGACGGGGGATCGAGCGAATCGCCCCCCCCCGGATGCTCCAGTGGTGGCACACAACATCTCGAACCAGAAGCCGAGATCCTCCTCGGTGCGGCCCCCAGTGAGGCTCACAGACTGCATCTCGGCGACAGACTCACAAGATGAAGTCGGCAAATTCCCCCGTGTACTACTTGAGATTACATGTAGTTTTGGCAGACATTACAGAATGTACAAGCACATTGGCATCCATTGAGCAAAAGTTTGCAACCCTTTCATGTGTCCTGCATGTCTCGAAAAGGCTCCAGTACTGTTGTGGGGTGGAACAGAAGCCATGGGCCGTGTCATCCGCGGTTCGCGTAAGGGTAAGTCCCTGATCTTCACAGCCAAGACCAGATTGAGGAAGGGTGCTGTCAAGCTTCGCGCTGTTGACTATGCGGAGCGCAAGGGCTACATCAAGGGCCTGGTGAAGGACATTGTGCATGACCCTGGCCGTGGAGCTCCTCTTTGTGAAGTTGTCTTCCGTGATCCTTATCGCTACAAGCTGAAGAAGGAGCTTTGGGTGGCCGTCGAGGGCAGCCATACCGGCCAGTTCGTCTACTGTGGCAGCAAGGCTCAGCTGACTGTCGGAAATGTCTTGCCTTTGGCAAAGATGCCTGAAGGTACTGTGATTTCCATGTGCGAGGAGAAAGCATCTGACCGTGGGCGATTTGCTAGGGCCTCTGGAACTTCATGCATGGTGGTTGGCCACTCGGATGATGGCAAGAAGACCCGAGTCCGTTTGCCGTCTGGCAGCCGCAAGAGCTTGCCTTCCACATGCCGTGCCATTGTTGGCATTGTGGCTGGTGGCGGACGCATGGACAAGCCAGTGCTGAAGGCTGGCAACAACCACCACAAGTTCCGCGTGAAGCGAAACAGCTGGCCAAAGGTGCGTGGTTCTGCCATGAACCCTGTGGAGCACCCTCACGGAGGAGGAAATCACCAGCACGTGGGCCACCCAACCACTGTCGCACGCTCAGCTGTGCCTGGACAGAAGGTGGGTCTCATTGCAGCAAGGCGCACAGGTCTGCTCCGCGGTGGTCAGAAGCTGAAGAAGTGAGAGAGATGA